TGGCTGAGTTGTTGTAGGAGATCTCCGAGTTGATATGCGTGACGACGCATTGTGTGCTTATTGCTGATTATGCTGTAAGATCGATGAGTTGTATGCTGAAGATGTGAGATGTGTGCTGTTATGGCTAAATGATGTGGTACTTTAAATGAATTTTGTTAAGTTGATTGATGTGTTGATTTGCTGTGCTGATAGGGGTAGCTGTTTACTATTCATATATTTATATATATGTATGTTATTTCTTTTCACTAGCTTACCCTTTGTTGTTTCCATGTGGTTTGGACTGCGATGATCATATTATGTATGGGAGCAGAGCAGGGTCAGGCGGGTGGCTAGTGGTGAGTCTGCATCTGGCGTTGATAATGTATTTCAGCTACTTGGTGTAGTCGTTGATAATGTATTTTGTTTTTGTACACTCTAACTCTAGTCGGATAGGGACTTTGTATATATTTATATTCTAGACCCTATATTTATATACTTGTCCTTTCTGTCTGGCGTTTCCGGTGTACAGTGGTGTGTGTAGTGACCAGCCGGGTCGTTACAATTTTCACTTATATTTCCTTATCTTTTCTCACTTCTCATTTATTTTGGTATGTAAATTTATTTCTTTTAGTTTTTACATTATTCTCTTCCTCATTCCCTTTCAGTTCTCACACTATTACTCTTCCCCTCCTCTCTTTTAATTTTCACACAAACTCGAGACGTAAAATTAGTGTTCGACAGCGTTATAAACATGTGTGACTTTTTCAACAATTTGAAGATGTCAAGTGAAATGTACATTTTTTTTTCGAGAACTTCTCCACTTCTCCATGTCTACAAAAATACAACATACAACATTTAAATTAATGTTCTAAATAATTTTATTATTTCATTAAATACTTTTTGGAACACTGACTTCACTATTTCAAAAAGTAATTTTTTAAATATTAAAATTTTTTAGTGTTTGAGTTAGACCCAATCCAACCCGACCAAAACCTGACACTGTATGAGTCGAGTAACAGATTTTGTGTTTCCAACTCGTTACCCGACCGACCCAGTAATATATAATAATAATAATAATAATAATAATAAATGATGATGACGATGATAATAATAATATTTGAATAATCATTTATTCAGGATAATACTCATTATCACTTTTATTTAGTAACGAGTTTTGTGTTTTAGATTGATAGTATTATAAAAATATAATATATTTATTTTAATTTTTATTTTGTATTAATTAATATTGGTTTTTTGAGTTGACAATAATATAATAAATTAATAATTTTTTTAGAATTTAATTTGTATCATTGTTCGCTTTTATAAGTTGATAACATTGTATTTGCAACAATATATCAAATGATTTGCATCTATTTTGAAATATTTAATATTGAGTTGGGTTGGATTTTTAAAAAAATTGCACAAACCTGACCCAACTCGCTAAATTTTGGTTAGGTCGAGTAACGGGTTCATCAAAACCTAACCTACTTACACCCATAGTCGCACATGCTTATAATGTTGTCATGCATCAATTTTACAATCTGGATGCATGTAATAGTTAAAAAAGGTGAAATGGGAAAAATAGTGCAAAAATTGAAAGAATTAAAACTACCTACTGAAATATGTGAGGAGTGAAAAGAAGACAATGAGATGCATGTGAAAATTAAAATGGAGAAAAAGTGGGGTATGTGAAAAAATAATAAGAAAATGCCAAATTAAAAGTTGATGATGTAAAATTTTAAAAATTAAAAATTGATGATGTAAAATTTTAAAAATTAAAAAATAAAAAAAATATATTTTTTTTAAATTACAAGATATTTTTAGTTTCAATTAGTAATTAATAACGGGACCAATTTTTAAATCCTAAAGGAAGACAATGAGATGCATGTGAAAATTAAAATGGAGAAAAAGTGAAGTATGTGAAAAAAGAATAAGAAAATGCCAAATTGAAAGTTGATGGTGTAAAATTTAAAAAATTTAAAAATAAAAAAGACATTTTTTTAAATTACAAGATATTTTTAGTTTCAATTAGTAATTAATAATGGGACAATTTTTAAATCCTAAAATAAAAGGTATTGTTTCTACCGTAAGTCTGTTGTCATCATTAGGGTCATCGCATTCGAGATATTATCCGTTTTGGCACTCTTTGGGCCGTCATGGTATTGTCCTTAAAAGACACCTCGGTGAGTTAAGGAGGGAGGGTGTTTATAAACTACCCTTAATCTTGACTCTTAAGCGATTTGAGACTTTTAGGCATACTGGAACAAGCCCCCAGTCGATGTTAAGGGGCAAGAGTGGCCTAGGCCCTCTTTCTAGTGCCAAATGTTCCTATCGTAAGTCCGCTGTCATCGTTAAGGTCACTACATCCAAGGTATTGTCCGCTTTGGTACTCGTTTGGCCGTCACAATTTTGTCCTTAAAAGACGCCTCGGTGGGTTAAGGAGAAAAGATATTTATAAATTACCATTAGCCTAAGCGATGTGAGACTTTTAGGCATACCGGAACAGGTATAAACATCTAGAGAGAGTTTTTATCATTTTCACGACTCATTGTGATAGTTAAGTTAAATTCTCTCATGTTCTAGTTTTATTCTTCCATTTTTTTTGAAAAAAATTGATTGACTTTCATTGTTATTATTATATATATATAAGAAAAATCTTTTTACTCCAATAGTAAGTCTATATAAACTTATTTCGTTCAATATTTTACATCAAATTTCAACGATCCAACTATTGAATTTAAAACTCTTAATGCATAAGTCAAATCTGTAAATTTTTTAAAAAATTTAAAAATTATTTGATACTTCATTTCATTAATTCAATTTGACAGATAATCATAAACGTTATTTTATACATTAATTTGAATTAATGAAATGAAGTATCAAATACTTTTTTTTTTAATTTGTAAATTTAATCTATACATTAAGAACTTTAAATTCAGCGATTGGATCGTTGAAATTTTATGTGAAAAGCTATTGTATGAAATAAGTATAAGTAGATTTACTAATAAAATAAACTGATCTCTATTCTATATATATTTTTACACACACACACACATATATATATAAACACATTATTCTTGTCCACGTAGATGATTTATATAATGTGTTAAAATTGACAACTAAAAGTTGATCTACCTCATGAAATATAATTTTTGTTAATTAAATATTATTTTAATATAGATAAAAATTAAATCGCAAAAATAAAATCATAATTTTTTCACATAAGGATCTTATTGCTTTATATATATATATATATATTTATTGAGAATATGTTTTTTTTCATATACATTTTAATTCTAATTTTACTTTTAAAATTATTCCTTTATAAATTATTTTTTTAATGTAACTTTTATGTTACAAATTACTACAAACTATTCATACCTTTCAAATAACTATTCTATTTCACTTTTCTTTTATTTTTTTTTTAAAAGAGAGAGATGCTACATTTTTCAAATAACTATTAATTTCTTTTGTTTTATTTATTATTTTAAAATGATAGAGATATAAAGTGTCTTTTTTTTTCTTCTAGTATCAATACAAAATATTGACTTGCCTACAATAATTAATTAGATTTTTGAATATTAAAAAAATTATTTTATATTATATTTTTGTTGTTGTAAAAATAACTTGATTTAGTCATTCAAATTTTTATAATCAAATTAGTAAGACTAAATTATTCGAGAATGTATTAGTAGAGCACTCTTAAACAAATTACCATTAGCCATAACAATGCATTGGCTTAAATATTCATCAGTTCTTCAATTTTGTTTTTAATTATATTATTCATCCTCAAATTTTAAATTGAATTTCAGGTCTTGTAATCTTAAAAAAAAAACTTATTTTAGTTTTTCTGTTCAAACATAGCTTGTAAATCTGCATGTAATAAAACAAATCTTTCTCATCATTGAAAGTCTAAAATCATCATCATGTAAAACTTACTTATTAGTAATTTTGATAGTAAAAATTTTATATTAAACTTAATTAATATTATATAATCGACTGTTAACGATCCTACTCATAGTTTTAAAAACCGGACCGGTCATCGAACCGGTTAAGGTACTGGGTCAGTAGGTCAAAGATTGAACCGGTGGGTCACTAGTTGAATCGCATGACTCGATTTTTATTAAAAAATATTTATATTAAATATATTTTATACTTATAAATTTTAATAAATTCATATCTTATTTTAAATTTCAATTTTTCTATCTTATTTAAAATTATTTTTATTTTGTAAAAAAATACATAAAAAAATTACATGTTAAACGGTATATTAATACAAATTAAAAATATAAATAATATGTACATATATAATATGCTTGCAATTAATATCACAAAATAATATATGTAATATTTACATAGATATTGCATTATTAAATATATAATTTAAAATTAATAATATACTATAAAAGTTATTTAAGTTGTATATATTGCAAACAAATATATTAGAACAAGTAGTCATTGTTATATTTAATAAGACTCCTTGCTTTTTCATTAAGAGATTCAATTTTCATTATTATTTTTGTGATTTATGGTCTCTTAAAAAATTTTAAAAAAAAATTTAAAAAAAAAAAGTGGTTGAACCGGTTTGACCCACCGGTTCACCGGTTGAACCGGAAAATTGACCGGTTCAATCCGATTTAAAACGGGTCGATTGCATAACCGATCCAACTTCAGATTCAAACCGGCTGGACCACCGGTTCCCGGTCCAACCGGTCCGACCGGCCGGGTTAGTCCGGGTTTTAAAACACTGATCCTACTAATAGTAATTTAAAGAAAATAAAATAATAAAATTGATAAGAGATGTTGAATCTGAAGCACTAAAAAAAATGCACCGAAAAGAGGCAATGATGCAATGGGTAATAATGTAAAAGGAGGTTGAGAAAAGTGGGGCCGTGTGAGATAACGTGAGCTAAGTTATGCGCTGGGATGGTTGGTAGCGGTAACATGGGTGTGACCCTTGAAGAATGAAGAATGAGCGGCACAGGACACCGCACTTGAAAACAAAATATCCCGCCCTCCATTATTACCATCCTAACCTCCGAATCTCTCTCTCTCTCGCATCCATATAAATCAATGCACTAGCCTCAACGCATCGCATTTTCATTTTCATTTCATTTCCCTCCCTCCGCCGATCCACACGCCAAACCCTAAATCTCTCTTTCTTCGCCGGAGCCATGAGAGAGATCTTGCACGTCCAGGGAGGCCAATGCGGCAACCAAATCGGCTCCAAGTTCTGGGAGGTAATCTGCGACGAGCACGGCATCGATCCCACCGGAAAGTACAACGAACAGGGCAACTCCGATATCCAGCTCGAGAGGATCAATGTCTATTACAACGAGGCTTCTGGCGGAAGGTACGTTCCCCGAGCCGTTCTCATGGATCTCGAGCCTGGCACCATGGACAGCATCAGATCTGGCCCCTACGGCAAGATCTTCCGCCCTGACAACTTCGTCTTCGGCCAGTCCGGCGCCGGTAACAATTGGGCCAAAGGTCACTACACCGAAGGCGCCGAATTGATCGACTCCGTCCTCGATGTCGTTCGCAAAGAGGCTGAAAACTGCGATTGCTTGCAAGGTATCGCCACTTTTTTTTTTCCTCTTCTTCTTTCTATTTTCGGACGCTCTAATGCTTAAACCGCGATGCGTTTGTAGATCTGTGAAATTTTTCTTGCCGTTTATATCTGTTTTTCACGTCGTTTATGTGAATGCTTTTGAACTCTCGTCGTTTTATGTTTTTCGAGATTTGTTTGTCATTGTAATAGACGGTTATGGATCCACGAGTTCTTCTCACTCGCATGGATGATGCCGACTTAGATCTGGATAACGGATTTAGAGATTAATGATAAACGTGGCATATATTCCTGCATTGTGATTAAATCCAAGCGGAGGAATGTGCATGATGAACTTGATTATACATTTGCTTCTAGGAGATTCAATGTTCAAGTTCAACTCAACCTAGATATATAGTTGCTGTTAGTTTTGGTCCCATTGTTGGATACAATTTGCCTGCAGTCGGTATAAACACAGATTCACACTGCCATCACTCATCAACGTAACTGTTGGATGAATATCGGACGATTCACACTTTATAAGTCGGGTTTGAAACATGAATTTGAGATCTGAGCCGTCCAGTCTTCACCCAACAGTTATAAAGCACTGACTACGTGAATGTGTGTGATTTCCGACTGCACTGAATCCATTTCCGATTATTTTTTACGGATCGATCATGTATGGTATTAGTGTCTTGATATGACTCTACGTTGAACGTGAGAAACAATTTGGTAAATGTTTCCCTACCCTATGATATGCAATAGAAAGGGAAAAATAGGGCTATCTGTGGATCCTCATCACGCTCCTTATTTTATGACTCTTCATTCTATTTGCTATCTGTGGATCCAATGTAATAAATCAAAGAATAATATAGATCTGGAATAGTGTCGGGATTTTCTTTATGTCATCTTTCTACTGCAATTGTTGCTGTGTCAAATCTCAATTATTTTTTTCTCCATTTTTTCCCCTGTTCCCATTATGCAACTAGATGACTTGATTTTTGGGAGAAAATGACACGGCTGAGCTGTTAAATGTGGTCCCTGTTGTCTAGAATGACGACAAGCAGGGACCACGTTATCTTTTATAGTGTTTAATTATTATTACTTAGCAAAACTATTTTGGGACAGTGATGTTTGACTATATTTATGAAATAATAATAATAATAATAATAATAATAATAATAATAATAATAATCTAATGTTGATATTCTCTCCTTACCTTGACTTTCTCAATTAAGCAAAGTTTAAAATTGTTTTTTTGATTTATAAATGTCATTTTTTTTTTGCTGATTCTCTAAACAGTACGAAATACCTGAAAGTATGTAATTCCACTTGGATCCTTAGTTACAGGAAAAGTCACTGCAGTATATATATTTACCCCCTACATGTAAATTCAAAGATCGAATCGGAAAACTACCTGCATACTAAAGCAATACAGATTCATGAAACAAAATATTGTTAAGTTTTGCTCAACTGTTAGTTATTACAAAAATATCTCCTCCTAATGGTGGTGATTTAGGAGCCACACAACTGTGTTCATATTTAGGAGCTCCATGTTTTGAAAAACAGCATAACTAACTTCTATAGATTCCTTAAGCTTAGCAGGGGTCAGCTAAGAACTGGGCTAGATGCTTTCGTGATCTTGTAATGTGGCTTCTTTTAGATTGTAAATTTTATGCGAATGCTTCTATGTGGAATGTATACTTGGTGCCTGGTGTAGTAAATCTGATTATTGGTAGTCTAATAATTATCACGATTGACGATAATGGTTGTGCATTTTAGTTATTTTTATTCTGAAATCTAAAAATTTAGTTTAATTTCTCCAGGTTTTCAAGTTTGTCATTCTCTTGGAGGAGGTACTGGTTCTGGCATGGGAACACTATTGATATCTAAAATTAGGGAGGAATACCCAGACAGAATGATGCTCACTTTCTCTGTTTTCCCATCTCCAAAGGTTTCTGATACAGTTGTGGAACCATACAATGCCACTTTATCTGTACACCAACTGGTTGAAAATGCAGATGAGTGCATGGTTCTTGACAATGAAGCACTTTATGACATTTGCTTCAGGACATTGAAACTCAGCACCCCAAGCTGTAAGTATTATCTACTATGTTGTAGTCTAATTGCTCCCAGATTAGGCATATAACCAAATATTAACTTTTGTTGATTTATTTCCTTGTGGTTTAATTGCAGTTGGTGATCTGAACCATTTAATTTCTGCAACCATGAGTGGTGTTACCTGTTGTTTGAGGTTTCCTGGACAATTGAACTCTGATCTTAGGAAGCTGGCTGTCAATCTGATCCCATTTCCCCGTCTCCACTTCTTTATGGTTGGATTTGCACCACTCACTTCCCGTGGGTCTCAGCAGTATGTGTCCCTTACTGTCCCAGAACTGACCCAGCAAATGTGGGACGCTAAAAATATGATGTGTGCTGCTGATCCCAGACATGGCCGATACTTGACTGCATCTGCTATGTTCAGGGGAAAGATGAGCACAAAAGAGGTGGATGAACAAATGATTAATGTGCAGAACAAGAATTCGTCTTATTTTGTTGAATGGATTCCCAACAATGTGAAGTCCAGTGTCTGTGATATTCCTCCCAAGAATTTGAAGATGTCATCCACTTTTATTGGGAACTCCACATCAATTCAAGAGATGTTTAGGAGGGTGAGTGAGCAGTTCACTGCTATGTACAGGCGCAAGGCCTTCTTGCACTGGTACACTGGAGAAGGAATGGACGAGATGGAGTTCACTGAAGCAGAGAGTAACATGAATGATTTGGTAGCTGAGTACCAGCAGTACCAGGATGCAACTGCAGAGGAGGAGGATGAATATGATGATGAAGTTGATGAGCAGTACGAAGAGCAGTAGGTGGATCGAACTTAGGCAAATGTCCTGATGATGAAAACTACCGGCACTGATCTACGTTTGCTGCTATTCATGTATCTACAGCCATATGAACTTTCTCTTTTATGCTCAATTCTCTGTTTTTTACATTTTGCCAATTTCGTTTTCAAATGCATTGCTTTTGAATTGTTTGGAATGTGCCCGGTGAGACAATAGTTGATTATTCTATAGTCCAATTCCTATTATTCTATACTCCCAAGTCCTATGCATGCAAATGTATGAATAAGTTCTTTTCTTAACTATTCGCGGTGCACTAAGAAAAAGGGGCAGGGGCTTTCCCTGTTGTCCTTTAGACACTGCCATTCCCATGGTCCGGAAGGAATGGGCTTAAACTGGGGTGGCTTGTTAGATCATCTCCGACATAGAATTCATTAGTTACGACAGAGAAGAAACAGAAAATGGCAAATGTGCCTCCCTTTTCTGATACGTGTTTTTTTTTAATCATGTATTAAATGACTATTTTGACATTAAAAAAAAAACATCACAGATTTTAAACGGTAATATATTTTATTTAATGATTTATAAGATCATTTTAAAATATTTATAATTTAAATTTTATAGATTAGTTTTTATTGGATGTATATATTGAATTTATTTCATAAGAACCTTGTTCAGGTCGAAAGAGAACTTTTCTCAAAAGAAATAATAAAAGATCCATAAAAAACTATGATTATTTAACAAGCTATAGAATCCGGAATTCAATCAGGCATTATAACGAACAAAAAAAAGGAGGGAGAACAGGGAATTGCTTTTAGTCATTTATATTTAATTTTGCCCCTAAGAAATTTGTTTCATTTTCTTCTTTTGGACAATTAAATCTAACATAACGTAAATCAGAAAATTATATATATTGGAGAAAAGGAAAATAGAATTGAAAACAAAAACGATTCCATGATATTCTATATCTCAAATGATATACAAACATTCCTTATATTAAGGAAGGTACAACTGTATAGCTCAGCAAATACTTTAACAACCTAACAAACTAATGATGAAAAATATTTACATATATTGACGTACACCAATACTCCCCCTCAAACTTATGTGAAGGATTTGTTAGAGGAAAAATCCTGCACATGAAGTTTGTTTTTAAGAACTGTAAATCGGGAAGAAGATAGAGGCTTGGTCAGAATATCAGCCCACTGATCTAAGGCAAGAATATGTTGAATCTGTAATTGCTTAGCCAACACTTTCTCACAAACAAAAAATACATCAATTTCCATGTGCTTAGTACGACTGTGAAAAACAGGATTATGAGTAATAACAACAACACTCTTGTTGTCACAAAACAAGGTAGGAGGAAAGAAAGGGACATGCAGTTCCTTTAACAAAGCTTGAATCCAAGTTAACTCAGCAGTAGTTTGAGCAATAGCTCGGTATTCAACTTCTGTGCTTGACCTTGCAGTAACTTGCTGCTTACGAGACCACCAAGATATCAAATTAGGACCAAGAAAAATTGCAGAACCAGATGTATAGCGTCTGTCATCAATATCAGAAGCTCAATAAGCATCACACATTGCAGTTAAATTGAATGATTTCCCAAGCGCAACAAGTTTGAAATGAAGTCCATGAGAAATAATACCCTTTAAGTAACACAAGATTCGTTTTACAACAATCCAATGAGTGTCCAAAGGTTGAGCCATAAACTGACAGACCTTGTTAATAGAGTAGCTAATTTCTGGACGAGTCAAAGTGGCATATTGTAATGCCCCAACAACAGAATGAAATAAGGTAGGATCATGAAAGAGATCATTGCCATTTTTGGAGAGTTTGCAGGAAGAAACCATAGGAGAGGAAATAGGTTGAGCCTCAACCATTTTTGTTTTGTGCAACAAGTCCCTAATGTATTTGCTTTGTGTCATTAAAATAGATTTGTCAGCAAAATATTTGACCTCAATACCAAGAAAATAGTCTAACAAACCAAGCTGTTTGAGAGCAAATCTTGCATTTAACTAAGTTGTGAGATGCTGAATAAGAGATGGAGAGCTTCTAGTGAGAATGATATCATCTACGTACACCAATAGGTAAATTGTTTGTTGTTGAAGGTGTAAGTGAACAAGGAAGGATCAGATTTATAGGCAAAAAAACCAAATTGCAAAATAGTAGTTTTGAGCCTGTCAAACCACTGTCGTGGAGCCTGTTTAAGGCCATAGAGTGCCTTATTTAACCTGCATACCAAACTTTTATCTGCACTTTCAAAACCTGGTGGCTGGACCATAAAAACAGTTTCCTCCAACAAGCCATTTAAGAAAGCATTGTTCACATCAAGATGAAGTAATTCCCAACCATTTGTGAGAGCCAAAGTGAGAATAATTCTAAGAGTGGCAAGCTTAATAACAGGAGAAAATGTTTCATGAAAATCAAATCCAGGAACTTGGTGAAAACCCTTGGCGACCAACCGGGCTTTGTACTTGTTTATAGATCCATCAACATTCTCTTTAATGCGAAAAACCCATTTACACACTACCTTCCTATTAGGTGGGAGAGGGACCAAATCCTAGGTTTGGTTCTTCATTAAAGCAGTGTATTCTTGTTGCATAGCTGCAAACCATAGAGGATCAACAAGAGCAAGTTTGACTGTTTTAGGCTCACAATGCACCAGAAATATAGAAGAATGGAGTTTAGGTTTGTGTATTCCAGGCTTTGACCGAGTTTGCATAGGGTGATTATTGATGGTTCTTGGAATATCCTTTTCTGAACTGTTGGAAATAGAACCAGAAAATGAGGCAGCAGGGGACTTAGAAGAATTAGAACCTTGAGTGGTAGAATCAGTGTTTGCACAAGGGACAAGAACATGAGGGGAAGATGAGGAGGCAGACTCTGTAAAGGTAGGATAAGATGAATGAGATGTAGAAGAAGGGACAGATGTAGGAGAGGAAGAAATTAGGGAAGTAGAAGGTGACAAGTTAGGTTGGAGAGTAAAATATTGAGGTAAAGTGGAGGAGGAAACATGACACTGAGGGAACAAATGAGCATAAGGGAATCTTTGTTCATTAAAAATAACATCCTTAGAGATATAAATTCTGCCAGTAGCAGAAAGGCACTTATAACCCTTGTGAGCATGAGAATAACCGAGAAACAGGCATTCTTGTGATCTATAGTCAAGTTTATGAGTATTGTAAGGTCGTAAGAGAGGAAAACAGACACAACCAAATGACTTTAAAAAATCATAATCAGGAGGGGTTTTGAACAAAATTGTATAAGGAACAACAAAATTTAGTGCAACACTAGGTAACCTATTAAAGAGGTAAACAACAGTCATAAAGGCAAAGTCCCAAAATTTTAATGGTAAAGAAGCATGATGCAGTAAAGTAAGTCCACTGTCAAGAATATGGCGATGCTTTCTCTCAATAGTTCCATTTTGATGATGAGTGTGAGGGCATATAAGTCTATGAGTAATGCCATGAGAGGCTAAAAAAGATGTGAAAGGTCTAAATTCACCTCCCCAACCAGACTGCACACTTTTTATTTTATAATTAAGTTGAAGTTCAACCATGGATTTGAAATGTTGAAACATTGTGAGAGCCTCGGATTTGGCTTTTAAGGGATAAATCCAAGTATTTTTGGAAAAAGCATCAACAAAAGCAATGTAATAGCTATAACCGGAAAAACTAATCACATGAGAAGGACCCCATAAGTCTGTGTAAATCAATTCTAATGGAGTAGTGTAAACAGAATCAGAAATAATAGAAGGTAAACAATGAGATTTGCCAATAACACATGAATTACAGAAGTCAAGGGTATTTTTATTTACTAAACCAAGTTTACATTGATTAAGAACAAGCTTCAATACATGTAAATTGGGATGGCCAAGCCTAGTGTGCCAAAGATTGCTAGAATTAGAAGTTAAAACAACTGGAGCTAAAACATCAACAGAATTGACAGTAGCTAAGGAATGTACAGGGGCAGGTTGTACATGAGCCTTATTCTTGCATGAGTAAGCAGTAGAAACAGAAGGATTGTGCAGTCTGAGATTGGGAAAGGAATAGAGACCATTGGAACCAACAACACCTTGAAGTAAAATTTCATGAGTCGCTTGAGATTTGACAAGGCACAAGTGAGGATAAAACTCAAAGTAGACTGAATTATCTTTAGCAAATTGACTCACACTCAACAAATTTTTTGCAATGACAGGAACATAGAGTAAATGATTAAGTTTAAAGGAAACTTGAGAATTAAAAGGAGAGATGAAAGATGAAGAACCATAACCCTTAATTTGCAAACCTTGACTATTACCAATGTAAATCTGATCCGGACCATCAAAGTGAGAAAATTGAGTGATGTTTTGAGCTGTATTAGTAACATGATTGGAGGCCCCTGAGTCTGGAATCCAAGTTGTGTGAGCTTTAGTAGAAACTCCTTGAGAAGGGGAATCCGTAGGAGTACTAGGTTTGAGATTAGGATTAGTCCAAGTGTTGGAACTTTTGAAGTTAAGAGGTTGCTGTGTTGTAGGATCATATAACACCATAGAATCTGGAGGTTGATAGGATTCATTAGCACGGAAATGGCAAACATTAGCAGTATGACCAAATTTTAAACATATTTGGCATTGAAAATTGGCAAACTGGCCACCACGACCATGTCCAGAAGTACCCCCAGATGACCACCACGGTTAACAGCAGAGGCTCCGTAGCCACCACGACCTCCAAATGAGCGGCCTCGAGAACCAGAACCACCATGTGACGCATAATTGACCATCGGAATAGACTGCTGTCGAAAATGATTGCTGCGAGACTCAAAGAAAAGAAGTTGAGCTTCAATTTCATTGACCGAAGGTGTCTTGAAATTACCTTCAATAACAACAACAACTGGTGCATATTCTTGCGGAAGATTAACGAGAATGGCATCAACATATTCCTCATGCCTTACTGGAGAGCCAACACCAACGAGTTCATTAGTGATGCTCTTGATTTGCAAAAGGTACTCATGCATGGTTTTACCATCTAACTGAACCGAATAAAGGCCAGTGCGAAGTTGACGCGCACGAACCTTAGTTTGCATTTGAAAATACTCATGAATCGTCTCCCGCACCTCGTAGGAGTGAGTTGCGCCAAGAACACGAGACAAAACGGACTTCGACAATGTTGACTAAAGCCATGTCAGATGCATTTGATCTTGAACCTCCCACACCTCGAACGCAGGATTCACGATCAACGTCGTTGAGGTATCGCGGAGGAATCTGTGGATTGACA